ATATATATATATATATATATGTATGTATATATATATATACACATATATATTATTTAGTAATATATATTTCATGAATTAATAGTAATGTATTGCATTTATTATGTCTAATAAATATATTGCATTTTATATTATGATTAAATTTAATTATATATCATATTTAATAAATTTCATGAAATTTATTTGTAAGTTTATATAAATACTACATAAATATTTATTTTCAAAATTAATTTACTTTTACATAATATATATTTATAGAGAAAAAAAGAGAAAAAGAAAAAGACAAAAGGAGGTAAGGAAGAAGAAAGGGAGGGAGAGAAAAAGGGTTAATATAGAAAGATGTTAATAAAAATATATACCTCGTAAGATAGGAGGAAAATTATCGTGTTTATATTTAAAAATTTTGGAGCCTATTTATAATTGAATGGTTATAATAGCTTTTTTTATTGGCCAAAATCAAAAGTTCATGGCAAAAAAAAACTCTCTTAACTCTTTGAGTTTGTATACACGTGAATTTATAAGTTAAAATTCAAAATCATTTTAGATCACATTTTTAATCCGAATATAATGGAAAAACGTTAAAAACTTTCCTATAAATGATACAAATCTCAAACCACAAGTATTGTTCCTCTAATAAAGCCTATGATCACCTTTTTAAAATCATTGGCACAATTCAATCACCTTCCATTGTGTACTTTAGACAATCCTATGAGAAAAATGATACTTATAAGATCTTCAAATATTGTTCTTCTATACTTAGCAATTTTATTAGCTTTATTTGTCCCACCAAGTCAATCTATTCTCTCCCACACTAGTTTATTGGAGCAAATATGCCGTCAATCACCTCATTATCACCTTTGTGTTATAACTTTACGATCATCAATTCACCATAGATCTAAAGAAGATATTGTCGGATTTGCTCGTTTAACCCTTGAGATTGTCAATGCTAATGCCACTATTACATTAGAACATATAGACAAGATTTGTATGCAAGCAGGGAACCCTAAACTAAAAAAAGCCTTGAAAAATTGCAATGTTTCATACAACATGATAGTTAAAGTCCATTTGCAGGAGGCTTTAAATGCTATGAACAAGGGTGATTATAAGGATGTACAACAAAAAGCTTATGTTGCTATTTTAGAAGCTGAGTCATGCAATAATAAATTTAAGAACCTACCTACTTCACCTTTAAGAGATACCAATCGATATGTGCAAAATCTTTGTTCTATTACCATGTCAATTGTTGACAAATTGGTTCAACCATATCAACCAACTTCGATCTAAGATTTTTTATTTTTGGGTGTTCATATTCCATGCACATACATCACTTCAGCTCCAACTCTATTTGTAAATATTTATTGTAAATAATTTTTTTTACACGTCTAATGCATTTGTTTTTCTTTGTATTTTTTACACATCGCATATTTTTTCACTTTTACACTTCCCTTTAAAAGCATAGGCTAGCCGAGAATGTGAAAAAAAAAAAAAACTGTTTTTTTAACATGATCATCTAATCCAACATGTATAACAAAAATTAAAATACTACTAGTAATAATTAAATATATGGATTGATGTCTTTGAAAGGTAGTAATAATATAGTGAAGATGAATAGATGTATCCCCTCACTTTAACTAAAATATTATATTCTGTACTACATAATTTTGTGTATTGAAATTATTGATAATTATTTTAAACATGTATATTTTATTATCTGTATATACAATAATTATTATTTTTTATTATTTTCTTTTAAAAATTGTCTCCACTATCTTAGAATCTTATATCCGCAAATACTTAATGAAGTTTGAAAAAACAAAATATAATAAATTCGACTTTAATAATTTATGTGCCGTATACAATACGTTTTCTAAAGATATCAATTGTTATATTATTGTTTGCTTGATTGAGATTTTGTTAGTTATTGTGTAAACCCAAATATGTTACAAGTCTTCTTTTTTACACATTGATTTATATAGATTCACCAATCAAGTATTATAATGTTGATTTAAATTGTTAGCGGCCAATTTTTTTTATTGGTTGACATGCATCTAAAAAAAAATTCATATCAATTGATATGTGAAACAATTATCATTGATGACATATAATTATAATTGCAACGTGCTTAAATTGACTTTCATCAAAGTGTTGATAGTGTTATAAATAATAATAATAATAACAATGACAGAAGTGAAGTGATGATAGGAATAATGGTTGTTAACAATCTTTTAGTTATTATTATTTTTAATGAAGTATTTTTTGAATTTTTTTAAAACTTCTTATTTTTAATAGCATATAATTTTCATCTATTGATAAAAAAATATAGATTTAAATATATTTTTTGTTATTTAAATTTAAAGTAAATGTATTTATAATATTTCAAAATTAGAACTAATTTAATTTGAATTCTTATAAAACAAATATCAAATTATATATAATAAAATAAATCAAATGTATAATAGATTTACTATACAACAAATTACATGTTACATATAAAATAAATATAAAATAACTTAATTAAACTCATATTACAAATAATAAATTTAAAAACATAAAAAATTAGGTAGGCTAGTGGGCTAAAATACCTAGCCCAACCAATCAATTTTTGACAAATTAAAGGATCCTAGCTTATTTTGTCACCTCTACTTATACTCAAATTTTGTTATAAAATTTATCAAATATTATCGCATAAAATTTATCTACTAATATATTTATTAGTTAAAATATTACATTATTGATGACTTAAGAGACTAAAATAATATTAAATTACAAATTAAAAAAATAGTTTTAAATTTAAAAGACCAAAAATAAATTTATTTTGAATTTGAGAAACTAAAAATATATTTAAGCAAAAAATATATCATTTTATTTTTTAAATTAAATTTAATGAAATATGTATTTATTAAAGTGAAGGAGTATATCTTAGTGGACAAAATGCAGAAATAATTATTAATTAAAAAAATAACAATTCACAATTAACAATAATGATAAAATTAAATTCTTATAAAATAAGATATAAAATTAATGATAATCTCAATTATTAATTTTTTAATCGATAATTATTAGAACACATTATTTTTTACGGTGCAATTCTCTCACTTAAAGAAAACAAATATAATTTAAAATAATGCACAATTTAATATCATTTAAAAGAAATACACATGATATATTAAACTATAATATTTATATTTAATAAAACATTTATGAGTTTTGTTTCATATCTTATTATTTTTAACAATATTTCCTTTTCATTACCGATAAATTTGTCAATTTCTTATTTTAAAAATCAAATATTAAAAACAACATCATATTGCAATATATATTGTTTATTATAGATTTAAAGTATCATTTCATATAAATTAAAATATTTTATTGATCGAGAATGTTTTCTTAGAGACAAGTCTTCAATTATATTATTTTAACTATTCTTTCAATAATAATATCTGTAAAGATTATTCTCAATTATTTATCATTTTTAAAATTATTTAAAACTTATCAAAAAATAAAAAAAATTATATTAACGTATAAATTATATTATTTATTTAAATCTTAAATATAATTTATATGATAAAAATATTTTTTTATTAATTTTAATTATAATATATTTTACAAGTATTATAAATTTTAGTTATATAAAAAAAATACAGTATTTATTAAGCTTAAATTTACTTTTGGTTTGTATAATTTCACAAATACACAACTTTAGTCCCCTAATTTTTTTATTACAAATTTAGTCTATAATTTTTAAAATTAAATAATATTGATACATTGTCGTCGGTTGGTATATCATTTAAAATTAGATTAAAAAAAAATACTAGTGTGTGTCTGAGTAGTATTAGTGACGTAAAAAATAATATTATTAAAAATTTAAAACATTTATAGATCATAAATTTTAATTTAAATAAAAAACATGACATATCAATAAATAATATTTTCTTTATTATTTATTATAGAAATCGAGACACTTCGTATCTTTAATAATTACACACAAATAAATATTAGAAGATTGCGGATAATCATTCAAAGAGAATATAAATATGTTTTTTTTATATCCTAAAAATATAATAATCCACTAAAAATTGAAGATAAAAAAATTATATGTCTCAATATCTCCATTAAACTACTTTTATAAAAATAATTTTTAGTAATAAATTATAAAAAAAAATATCTTTTCTTATATATAAAAAAATTTGAACTAGTTTTATCTCATTTAATGATATTATTTATAAAATATTTATCTTTTATTATATGATATTTTAATGTATTACTTTTTTCTTGATATCTGTAATAAAGATAAATTAAAAATACTATAAATTTAATAAACTTTAATATAAATATGTGACATCTATTTTTTAATTTATAATATAAAACAAAAACAATATTTTTTTATCTAAATTAGTGTAATTATATATTATTAATCTATCTATACATATTATAAATGAAACACCGAGTCATGTAATTGTTTTTGGTCTTCACTTTTTAGTGGATCATTATATTTCTCAAATATAAAAATAAATTATATATTTTCTAAATAACTACACTCAACTTTTTAATATGCAATTTGTATATAATTTTTAAAGATATGAAGTGTCTCGATCCTTCTAGTACTTATAAGAGGATATATTTTAATAATCATTTTTTAATTTTCACTTTTTAATTAACTATTATATCCCTTAGATATAACAAAAAAATTATATTTTTTCTAAATAATTATTTTTATCCATAATTTTTAATATTTGTCTTTGTATATTATTAGAGATACGAAGTGTCTCAATCCCTTTAATCATTCATAAATATGTCAATAATTTTTATTTCACTTTGACTAATATATCAATAGTGAATTAATATTATTTAATTTTTAAAATAAAAAACCAAAATCACGAAATGAAACTAAAGGACAAAAATGAATTTAAGTCTACTAGTGATAGCCAAAATATAATGAGTTAATAATTTATATATTATTAGTGTAAAATTTTTTTATATTGGCAGTCAATCAGAACTGTTAATAATATTTTTTTATTATTTTAATTTAATTAAATTAGTAAATAAAAAGACATTATTAATAACTCTGATTGACTGCAGTATAAAAAAAATTCACTGACAGTATACATGTAATTAACTTAAATATAATTATAAATGGTGATGTTCATAAACCCTCGAAGGTGTGAAAACACTGGAGATAAGTAAAACCCCAACTTCGCTCCTCTGCCCTCACCGGAATACTTCTCTCCACATCGCCGTCGCTACCGGAAATGGACGCCGACAACGCTTCCAACAACGCCGACGCTCCTATGCAAATGGATTCCGGCGACTCTCCCGCCGCTCAAGTACGCCCTCCTAACTCGCTTCGCTCTTTCTCCTTTTTTCTCCGTTCGCTTTTGTGAAACAAAATAAAGTAAAATAGAAAACCGAATCCACTGCTTAGCGGAGAACTTCGCAGTTAGGTCTCGTGGTTGACTTCACGCGACTAGGTCACCGTACTAGGCTCGAAGGATTGTTAATTTGTTACTCTCTAAAGGATTAACCCTAACTATGTTTCTTTTAATTGGATGAGTTTAATTTGATATTTCAATCGTGAGTGTGAATATTCTTGATGCTTATTCATTGGTTCGGTTTTGAAGGCAAAAGACAAAGAAAAAGAAGAACTAACAGAGACTATGAACAAGCTGCATATCGAGGGATCCTCGTCTGGGAATGGATTGCCTAACTTCAGAAGAAAACCGGTTATTATCATAGTTGTTGGAATGGCGGGTAATTGCATTTATACTTGGTGTTGGAATTATTTTCTGCATTTGACTATTTTATACTATGATTTATGAAGGAAGACTAAGATAAGAATAAACCTCATTTATGTTTTAGGGAGCGGGAAAACAACGCTTCTCCATAGTTTGGTTTGTCATACTCATTTGAAAAACATTCGGGGTTATGTGGTGAATCTCGACCCCGCCGTCATGACACTCCCATATGCTGCTAACATTGATGTAAGAGACACTGTTAAATACAAAGAAGTCATGAAACAGTTCAACCTTGGTCCTAATGGTGGAATTTTGACTTCCCTGAACTTGTTTGCCACCAAGTTTGATGAGGTAAAGTTTGCTCGTTAATCTCTGAAACTATCGTGAGTTGTGGCATTCTTATTTGTTACTTCTTTTTAATTGATGTTTTACCCACAATGACATAGTGCTTTCAACGGGTGATCTGTGATCTTATTTGTATCACTGATTTAATGATACAAAGAAGAATATATGATACCTGCTTCTTTTTTAATTATTGAATTGGAGAGCTTTCCTCGAGCTTGTTTGATCTTATGTTCTGGATTTACTTTTCCTAATTAAACTCTTGGTTCAACAGTTGAGATCATATTGTGTATGTGATCACATTTTTTTAATGCTTATGCTCTTCAATTTCAGGTAATTTCTGTTATTGAAAGACGGGCAGATCAACTTGACTATGTTCTAGTGGATACCCCTGGTCAGATTGAAATATTCACCTGGTCTGCTTCTGGTGCTATCATTACAGAAGGTTTTGCATCCACATTTCCCACTGTAGTCACCTATGTAGTTGATACTCCTCGTTCAGAAGATCCCACCACTTTCATGAGCAACATGCTGTATGCTTGTAGTATCCTCTATAAGACAAGGTTACCTCTCATCTTGACGTTCAACAAGGTTGATGTAGCAGCGCATCAGTTTGCCTTGGAGGTATTGTTTATTTCAGATGAATTTTCTTGTGTTTAGTTTTATTGCAAATGATGCGTTGGTTAGATTAGTTCGTTCATTTTTGTTTTGTTTTGTTAATAATATGAAGTTTTGATCTACCAACTCACTAACATCAGGTTGTGGCTAACTAGTAAAACCAATTTGCTCAACAGATTATCTTATGACTTCAAATTATATTGCCGTTTAAACTACAAAACATAGTGTAATTGTTGGCCTTTTAGAACTAGGTCTTATGTTTAAACTTTAAACAAGAGTGAAACACAATGACATGTGGGCTGTATCTATGATTTGATTTGGCTTTGTAGTAGAAGATTTCTCAAGATCAGAAAGCGTAACATTCAAGTTGATTTTATCATTGTCCTATAAAGTGGGAGTTGGATATAATTGTTATCTTTTGAAGGATTTATCACTTTGGCATATTTATTTGTATCTCCCTTCTATTGCATGTCTTTGACTTTAACTAGTATTGCATGTATACACATCTGTCAAAAGGGCTAATGTTTATTGGAGCTTGACATTTTGCTTTCAATAGGAGAAAATGAAGTTAAGGTTAATAAGTAATTTAAATTGAGAGATTGGAGTGAATTGCAAAACAGTATTGATGGAGATAATTATTAATTTTTCCTTTCACGTTGGAGAATTTATTGTATAGAGAAATTGGACCTTTTGCCATTATAGGGTTTATGGGCCCTCCTTAAAATCCCTTTTTCGTATTTAAGCGTAATTACTTGTTTCTGCTCAAAAAATATAATGGGCCTTGAGGCTACTCTATTTGTAGCCTAATTTCTATTCATGGTTTCTTCATTGGTTTTTTCCCTGCCTATCAAACTTACACGATCTGTATTTGTACCAAAAAGACTTGCACTATCTGTCTTGTTTTTGTAGATTGCACCAATTTTTATTTATTTATTTTTTAAAAAAAAATTTATTGAGTATCCAGTGGATGGAGGATTTTGAGGCATTCCAAGCAGCTGCAAGTTCAGATCACTCCTACACGTCAACTTTAACTCAGAGCCTTTCTCTTGTGCTAGATGAATTCTACAACAATTTAAAATCAGTTGGAGTTTCTGCTGTTTCTGGTGCAGGATTGGACGCCTTCTTTAAGGCTGTCGAAGCCAGTGCAGAAGAATACATGGAAAACTATAAGTATTGTCTGAGCTTGACAGTTTTATTTATTTATTAGCTTTACTATTTCTCACTTAAATTACCATTGACTTGGCATATATAAAAGGGTGTTTGAAATGGCTAACCAAAAAACTTCATTGTATCGTGCAACTATTAGGGCTGATCTTGATAAAAGACGTGAAGAGAAGCAGCGTTTGGAGGAAGAACGCAGGAAGGAGAACATGGATAAGCTGAGGAGGGACATGGAAAAATCTGGGGGAGAAACTGTAGTCTTGAGCACTGGTTTGAAGGACAAAGAAACAAGTAAAAGTAAAAGCATGATGGATGAGGAAATGGACGATGAGGAAGATGACGATGACGATGATTTGGGTATATATACTGAAGAAGAGGATGCTATAGACGAGGATGAAGATGAGGAGGTTGATAATTTTGGCTTCTGATGTGATTTATCACCAGTTGGACTGCATCAGATTTGTATAGCACCTTGACTTTCATTTGGTACATGTATACAATCTTGAAATTTCGAGTACTAATTAATCAACCAGTTTATTTCATATATGCTGTCAGCGGTATTCCTTCTAGGTTTTTTTGCCTAATGATTTTGCACTAATTGCAGAGACAGCTGTGCTTGATTTTGATGCAATTTGTTTTTGAACTGATAATAGTTATAATTATAAATGGCCGGAATTTGCCAGAAATCTCTAGTGATTCTGTCTCGTATGATAAGGTTTCTGAGAGGCATTTCCACATCCATCAGACCTGAACTTGACCATAGTTAGGGGTGTGCAAAAAATCCAATTTGATCCGAACCGATCCATAACCGATCCGATCCATATTGAAAAATCCGATCCATTTTGAAAAAAATTCCGAACCAAACCACTTTATAAAACCGGTTCAGTTATCCGATCCATTTTTACAAAGTGGATAGGTTCGGTTTTTTAGAAAAAATCGATCCATATATGAGTAAAAAGTGGATAACTGCACCGTACCGAACCGATCCAATTTCAAAAAAACTGATCCATATTTTAAAAAAACCAAATCAATCCACTTTATAAAAAAATAGATCGGTTAACCGATCCACTTTTATAAAACGGTTCAGATCGATTTTTTGAAAAAATCGATCCATGAACACCCCTAACCATAGTTATCCTTTTTAGTTTTTAATATATATTAAGGATTTATTTTAGAACATGATCCCATGTCAAGAAATATGGGCCAGATAATTGGATGTGTACTCATGTTATTCTGTATTTATGATGTTTCTGTGGGTTCTCCATTTGTCATGATGATCATATGGGTTAAACAAATTTTTTTTCTTTCTAAATGTTTGTTTTTCATTCCCTAATTTTAAAATATTGACTTTTGATTCTTCATTTTTCAAAATATGTCAAAATTTACTTTCCTTGCTATTTTCGGTAACTCAATTTAATGATTATCCTAGTCAGCAAAAATCATGTCATGTATGCTTAAGTGACCCAAGGTTCATATATGGTATTTTAAATTACAAAAACATAAAGTTTTACTATTATTTTTTATGTTAGGATTTTTATTCCCAAACATTTTTGCTTGAAACAATTAAGGATTATGAGTTCATATATTTGTAGGTAATTAATAGTGTTAATTTTGACATTTTGGAAAATGGAGGATCAAAAAGTAGGTATTTTAAAATTAGGAGCTAAAAAATGAATACTTACATATTTAGAAGGTGGAAAAAGATGTTTAACCCTAATCATATTTTAGATTTTGACTGAACATCGAACCTCTCTGAACCGAGTACTGCGGAATGTGCAGTCTCTTCCTTGTGAGGAATGAATTCCTAGAGAAAGGAAATTAGACGAAAAGAAATAGGAGAGGCAGCAATAAAAGGAAAATAGAGTTCAAAGTATTATTTGAACGGATATAAATTAGGAGAAATCTGGATTTTTTTTCCTGTTTGAAATGATAAAACAAAGTATAAAATTAATAACTTTTATGATTTTTTAATACTAATTAAAAATAAAATTTATCCTAAAAAATTACTTTTTCTCTGTTGTTTTTAATATAAAATTATTCATTAAACTATAAAAAAAATTATGTTAGAATACAAATCAAAAATAGAGAAAACCAGCTTTCTTTCCTCTTTCGTTGGAGTTAAACGTGTATTTTATCTTTTTTCATTTTTCTTTTGAAACAATTAGTAGAAATTTTGTATCTTTATATTATTATTTTTCTTTTATTTTTACAAATCCAATAACATCTTCACAATTATTTTGGTAAATCAATGTATTTGTGTATTCCTTAACCAATAAATAAGAAGATCTTCAATCGATAGTGGAAGAGATTACCAACGTGTAGTTTTGTAAAGTCTTTTACATAAACATGGATTGAGATCCAATCTTTTTAAGGTTGCTTAAAAGAATCCAACTATAAGTGTTGGACTTTTTTGTAGGGTAATTCATCAATTTGATCCCTACAATAATATTATTCTCTTTTCTAAATAGTCCCCAAAAGTAAATAAATCATATAAATTATCTTTCATGTATTAGAAATCATATTAAACAATCTATCAAATATTAAAAAATCTTTCAAATTAGTCTTTGAACTTTAATAAAATATATAAAGGTAAAGAGTAAATTGATAGATATTTAACACTCTAAAGATTACTTACAAAATTTTATTACTTTAAGACCACTTTAATAAAAATAAAAATACAGAATACAAAATAAAAAATAAGAATGAATGCTAAGCGGGGAAAAAAATTGAACAAAATATGTCCAACCTTTTGAAGAGTTTTAAAATGAGTATAGATGAGAGATAATAGTGAGTTGGGTCTTTGGGTGAGCAATCATGATTAGCCTCTTAGAGCGAATATATGAATTTCATAAACTCTCACCAAATTTTCACCGCTTACGTTAGGCTTTGTTAATTTAATACCCACAACACCAGAATTAAGTAATAATATTTCAAAGGGGAAATAGATGGTTTATTAAAAAAATAAATAATATAACACTGATCATACAACTTTACTTTACAATAATGGAGGAATCTAGAAACACATAAAATTATTCTAACAATAATTGATATAATCCTGAAACTCTTTATGGCCCCCACATTGGATTTGTATTGGTTGTTTTCATTCCCAATAATGATGATTTTCAAATAAAACCCCACAATTTTTTAAGACTGCCTAACAGCCTCAACATAACATATCTAATTATCTGCCACATTAGATAATTTTTTATTCCTTGTCCATATCTGAGCATCAATTTGGTCGGAGTATTAAATTATTAGTCCAATCCACTCAATTATGCGTATATCTATGTATAATAAATACTAGTATAAGATCAGAATGTTAAAATTAAAGTAACTCATGTTATCTGCATTTACTCCAACCATTAAATTAATACAATTTTAGATTTATAGTATTGTAACATTAGTTCAATCTACATTAATTCGAAAGAAAAGTAATTGAATAAAAAAGTTCTACTATACTAAACTCATCAGTTAATTGTCAAAATTAATGTTATTCCATATTAATAATATGATTATTGAATATAAATTTGAATTCCATTCATACAATTTAAATTAATATTTTGTAACATGGATGAATCGATATTAGTTTTTACATCGATTAAAATAATTAATAGTTTTGTAAATAAAAATATAATTTAGTAAAAATTCTAAAATTAGACAGTCAAAATACTTTAGTAAATATTAATCGATGGCAAAATTAATATATATTTTAGATCAATGATATAACTAAAAAATTGTTATTCAGACTAGTCCTTTATTGTATAGAGCCAAAAAATTATACTCCTATTATTCATCAGGGTGATGTTATAATATAAATTAATATTTTGACACGTGCATGTCACAAGTTAATAAGTTGAGTAACTTAAAAAAAACTGTGGATATTAATTAAAAATAATAAACATAATTATTTATTTATGTGGATAATTTGATGGATTATAATTAGGAAGGAATGCAGCGCAGAGGGATTGACATGTACATAAGGTAAAGAAGGATATACATACTATCTGAATCAGCATGCGAATAAAAATCTTAACAAATTAGAAAAATACAAAAGAAAAAGGTGAAAAGAGATTTGCATGAAATGAGACAAATGAGTGCCACGTAGTTATCAATTCCAAATCTCAAATCTCAAATCTCAAATCTCAAATCTCAAATCTCAATCGTCATCATCCAAAGCTGCAAGTACAATTGCATCATTAAACTTCAACGCACTTTTTTTTTTTTAATTTTTTATTTTTAGCATAGTAAATAATAATTATAAAAATTAAAAGATAGTAAATAAACTTTCGGTTACACTAGAAGAGAGAGAGAGAGTGTGTGTTAGCAATTAGCATAGTTGAGTTGAATTGCGAGAGTAATGGCGAAGCACGAGGAGCTTCCGATCCCGATTTACGATAACCTAGAGCCTGTCTATGGCGGTGGTTCCTCGCTCGAAGAAGCTCAGCTTCGTTTCGATACTTTTAAGTCCAAATTCCTTGAAATCTTCGGCCATCCTCCTCAAATCTTCGCTCGCTCACCTGGTTTCTCTCTCTCTCTCTCTCTCTTTCTCTGTGAATTTCTATTTCCTTCAAATTATAATTACAGCAACGTGTTGGAACCTACAATTTGTATTTAGAACGGAATTAACTATTTCACCTGATAATTGAACGTGTTATTGTCGGCACGTGTATGCTATTGTATGGATGTGTGATTGTTGTAAGGTGTTTTGCGGTGCAGGGAGAGTGAACTTGATCGGGGAGCACATTGATTATGAAGGTTATTCGGTGTTGCCTATGGCTATTCGGCAAGACACAATCATGGCCATTCGGAGAAACGAGTCTGAAAAGGTTCTTAAGATCGCTAACGTGAATGGTGGAAAATATTCTGTTTGCACTTATCATGCTGATCCTCTCCAGGTGGATCCTCGAATCCTTTTGGTCAAGCACTGTATAATAATGTGAAGCTTAAAACAGCTTTAAGAAGAGGATTATTGTTACTATTATTATTTATTCGTATAACAAATTTTACGATCAAGAGAATGAGAGAAAAATATAAAATATTGGTGTGTAAATTGATGTATTAATAACACATATCTTCTAAGAATGTTTGTTTGCTATTCATTTTTTGTCAATAAAATTGTTCTGTTTTGTTGATATTCATTGGCTGTGTTTTTCATGCAGGAAATCGACTTGAGGAATCACAAATGGGGCCATTATTTTATTTGTGGGTGAGTTTATTTCATATTTCTCTTGTCGTTTCCTCGTTTTTTTTTCCGAGGTATAATGGCAAGCTCAGTTAGATGTATGAGCTTTTTGTTTGTTCTCCTTAATGAACCTTGCTTAACGCTGCCAAGATGATTCAGATTATTGATCATTCGAACTATTAGTCCTAGTCCTAGACTAATGCGCATTCTGGTTACTTTTATAAAAAGGAGTGGTTGCAATTTTATTTTAATGATATATTTACAATCTGTACTGTAAAATTTGAAATGATATGCTATGTATGAATGAAGGAGCGTTGAATAATATAATAGATAGTGGTTTTGTTTTTTGGGTGAAAAAGAAAGGGTGTAGAATTGTTTTTTAATTCAGTATTAATTGATAATACAATCTGTAGGTACAAAGGTTTCTATGACTATGCAAAATTGAAAGGAGTGAACGTTGGTGAACCCATTGGACTTGATGTTCTTGTTGATGGAATAGTGCCGACAGGTGTGTTCATTAGTTTTGAGTTAGAATGGTGCTACTGACGACATGCAAATTTACCTCCAAGTGAATGTTGATCATTATCTCTGGTTTTCTATTAGAGATTACAATTTGTCTGTTGATGGCTTTAAATTAAAAGGAAAAAGGGCATCTTTTTTACAGGTTCTGGACTATCAAGCTCTGCAGCGTTTGTTTGTTCATCCACAATTGCTATTATGGCTGCTTTTGATGTGAACTTCCCAAAGGTATGCCTTTCGGGCTGGAATTCATGTGTGTGTAATAGTTTGTGCTTTGAGGAGCAAATTCTGTTCAGGTCTTACTGAATGTTGAATGCATAAATTGTTTGCATATATAGCTTATAAGATTCTATTTTTTATATAGTAATTAATCATAATTATGATAAGAAGATATTACCGGAATTTTGTGTCATTAAAGTAACAAAAGAAAAAATATTTTAATTTTTTAGAAGTGAAATAATTTAACAATGCATCAAAATCTGATATCAGTTCACCACTACATGATAGTATTACTGGAATTTCACATATTCACCCTTGGAAGGTCAGATCTGATTCATATTTCAAACTATTTGTGGCTGTTGAAACTGATGCTTTATAAATCTCTATGCTTCCATGATTTAATTATTTTAGTGATCTTTGTTACTCAAACAAGCTAAAATTCTATAATTTTGTTTGTAGACATCTGAGATACATCTTGATTATACCTTCTAGATGGACAATTTAACACTGCTTTAATTGTATGCATGTCTTTGTTTTGAAAAATATTTTATTGTTGTATATTTAATATTTGCTTTTTATTCTGTTTCTGACATAAATTATCATATATTGTTGACAGAAAGAAATTGCACAAGTTACATGTGATTGTGAACGACATATTGGGACACAATCTGGTGGGATGGATCAGGTTGAGCTCATCTTTCGTTACAGATATTATCTATTGTAATTTTAATATGAACATGCCCCAGTTACCTCTCCAAGTATAGTCTTTTCCTCCATATCTCCTCGTATGGGATGGCACTCATAACTGCTATGCCACATCTTGCTGATGGGCACTCGTTGACTTATGTTTTTATCTAACACCAAGTATAATGTTTCAGGTGAATAATTGAACATGTGTATATGGTGTTGTTTAATCCATCAATCAGAATTGAAATGTCAAATATATTCTATCTGTTAATTTGATTTCACTTTACAATTTATAAGGTATGAATTTTGAAACGCAAGCGCTACAGTGTATAAAATACTACATGTTTAAAAGGAGTTGTTTTTGGGTAGGAAATGATGCTGCCAATTTAATTTATTTCAATTATTTTAAGGATGATTAATTGTGGGACACCATGCTTGTGGCCACAATTTGAAAAAGATAGTCATTTCACTGTAGAGGTATTTTGTACAATGTAACAGAAAGGGAAATCACTAGTGGCTTGGGACGTAAAGAAGTTGACATCATGGATGATCAAGGTCCGAAGGCGACGGAAGCAATTGAGCAATCAAGGACTGAGGAGCATGTGAATTCGGTTAGCTCACAAGGACAGGTGGCAGCAAATGATGGGTTGGGAAGTGAAATCAAGGCCAAACGTGTGAGTAGGCCTAGTGTGCGGATGAGGAATGTTGTGTGGCAGAGAAATTAGTTAAATGTCAGGATGGGGTAGGAGAGAGGGTAGGCAATGTTAGAAGAGATATTCTTCTCTTTCTCTCTGTGTACTTTTCTTCATTGCTGATGTTATTGTACTGCATTTCCATTTTAATCAAGTTGAGTGCCTCCCTGTGATCCCGTTTGATCTCATAGGAAGTGCACTCTCAACATTTAATCCTTGATTCCTTGTGTTCTTCTTAATTCAGCCATTATTACTTGTTAATTGCATATTCAGCTTGTTACATACAATTGACCATTAATGCATTAATCTGCTTCCAACTGGCTTTCATTAGATTTCTTGCAAATAATTTTTTTTGAATAGTATATATAGGACTTAATTATTCAATTTTTTCTGTTCTTCTTAGGATATTCTGACATTTTACCTGGAATTAAATATTTTTATTTGGTTTTACTTGACAGGCAATCTCTGTCATGGCAAAAACTGGGTTTGCAGAGCTGATTGATTTCAACCCAATTCGTGCAACAGACGTGCAACTTCCTGCTGCTGGAACTTTTGTGATAGCTCATTCTTTGGCAGAGTCTCAGAAGGCTGTTACTGCTGTCACAAATTATAATAATAGGGTTGTTGAATGCCGTTTGGCTTCTGTGAGTCCATTTCATCCTAATTAATGTTACTCTTGTAGACTTGTACCCACTCCCTAATTACTATTTCTGGAGCAAAACATCTTTACTACTGTATTTTGTATAGTACACATTTATCGGATGGGAGTGCATAAATAGCTTGGTAGTCTTTTTTGTTTGTCTACGACAAAGAGAGCATGGTGATTTAAACCAACTTATGAATTCTTTCAAACTACCAAAACCACTTGCCACTAGTGTACTCCTAGTTGCTTTGATTTGTCAATTAGATTTAACTCGCCTAATTTCATCATTTCCTGGAAAATATCATTCGTGTAACTATTTCTAATTTCTATTATTGAATTGAACTAGAAAAACCTGTTCTTTCCAGATGTTTTTGGTCCTTTCATGTTGGAGTTAATTGTTGTATAAATGTGTATGTCTGCGTGTATGTATGCGTGCATCAAAAGCTTAGGGGCAAAGGCAACTTGCAAGTCTTTTTGGTTTGCCAGTTATATTTATTAACTCAAAACTTATTGTGAAATTTTCCAGATCGTGCTTGCTATAAAGCTAGGAATGGATCGAAAGGAGGCAATATCAAAAGTGAACACGCTGTCTGATATTGAAGGATTATGTGTATCATTTGCTGGTACTCGTAACTCTTCTGATCCTGTACTTGCTGTAAAGGTAATTGTACCTGGTATGATGTCATCCTTAGAATTAGCTTTGCACAGCATGCTATTTATTTTTTATTTTATTGAGAAAATTTCATTTCAATTGATATGGACTTCTTTTCTTCCTTCATAAAAATTTCATGCCTTTTCCTGTTTTAAAAACTTTCCTTTTGGTGCAGGAATATTTGAAGGAAGAACCGTATACAGCTGAACAAATTGAAGAAGTTACCGGAGAAAAGCTGGCTTCATTTTTGAACAATAATGCAGCGTATTTAGAAGTTGTAAAAGTTGCAAAGCATTACAAGTTACATCAGGTTCTTCTTCTAAGCTCTATTAATAAACTGGTTTAGTGTTCATTTCTCTGGATTTTATTTTAGCCCGGTATAGAAGTTACTTTCATCTCACTTGCATAAAACATGAGGCAATCTGAATATAAGCTTTAATTAATTTGCACTGCAACTTGCATAAAACAATTGCTCTGATCGGCTAGTGTTAGTATCTCTGCACTCACTTTTTTATTATGTAGTTAGAAGGTTTAATGCATGACATACTCCAATTGGTAAATATCTAAAAATTGCTTGTGTTTCCTTTGTATTTCACCATTGCCAACAAGCATCTCCATAGTAAGGATTAACAGCTAATGCATTGTCACGTTTATGTGGTGTTATTTAATTTCGACACATTTTGTTTTGTTTGTAGAGAGCTGCTCATGTGTATTCAGAAGCCAAGAGAGTACATGCTTTCAAGGATGTCGTGTCCTCAGATCTAAGGCAAGTCTTGTGGGTCTAGCATGCATATGTGCTGTCTGTTCTCAATGTATTTCTCATTAACATTTTTATATTTCTTAAAAGTTAGGAGTTCATACTTCTAGGAGAATTAATTATTCGATAATTTGTAGGTAAAAGAATACGAACCTATTGTTAAAGAGTAATTTTAACCCAAGAAAATTTCAGTTAAAGATGAATGAAAAATTTAAAGTAATTGAAAGTCAGATTGCACATTTCTAAAATCACAATCTTTTTGTCCCTAACGATGATTTTAAGATAAATAAGTAATATTTATTTTAAGAACCTCTAAAAAAAACTTAGAGGTGTCACACACTAATATTTTTGGATATTATATGAGATGGCCACTTAACCTTTTAATAAGCAAATAAGTAATTAAACTTTATTATATAATAACACGGATTAAAACCAATATTTCTAAATTTTACACGGATGAAAAACGAAGTAAAATTTTTACAGAAACTAAAATCAAAACTTGCTCATTGCTACATATTTAAGCTTCGATATTATTATATGCTTGGCTTATAAACTTTTCATTTAAATGTGACATCAAGACAACTAGGCAAAACCCATCAAAATGTTATTGTTCCACATCCGGCTACTATACATATGTAGCTTGCAGTCATGACTAACATGTGCATTTGCACTTTGCTATCTGTAAACAGTTGGTCTTGGGTGTAAATTGGACGAGGAATGAGGATCACTCTGAATTTCTTATAACGAGACTTTCTTTATTTTCATAAAAAATATGCTTTGAGGACTAATCCCATTAGTTTGCATATATCGTAATTCTTTTGTAAGTGAGCTATGTATGGGTTTCTTTTATGTTAACTACTCAATTATTTTCAGCAACGAGGAGATGCTAAAGAAGCTTGGCGACCTTATGAACGAGAGTCATCATAGCTGCAGCGTTTTATATGAATGCAGGTATTGGGATACTGTTACTGTCATTTTAAAATAATATATGCACTGTCAATTGTTCGGTTCTCTCTAAAGGATTATTTTATAAGGCATGATTTGTCATGTGAGCTTTTCCAACCTTAAAAATAAATGAAGAATACTTATTGTAAAATGTAGTTTCATTTTTCAGCACTTAATTTTTTTTTTAAACTTCTATTTGATAAGCATTGATATTTTCTATTATTCATGGAATCAGCTGTCCAGAGTTGGAAGAACTTGTAAATATTTGTCGTAAAAATGGTGCTCTTGGGGCAAGGCTAACCGGAGCTGGATGGGGTGGTTGTGCTGTTGCTTTGGTGAAAGAGAGCATAGTCCCACAATTTATCCTTAATTTGAAGGTTTCTTATCAAATATATAATACTTAACAACCGTAATTAATCATTGGAGGTTTGGAATTAACAAGTTGTCAATACTGAATTTTATGTCCATTTCAGGAATGTTTCTACCAGTCTAGGATTGACAAGGGCGTTATTAAGAAGAACGATCTTGGCCTTTATGTATTTGCTTCCAAGCCATCGAGTGGTGCTGCTATCTTTAAGTTTTAGTGATCTTCGAGTCGTTTCGCATCCGATGGCTGAAACTTTTTTTTTTCTTCTTAAGATCTAAATAAAGACTAGATGCAATTTCTGATGTAGTAAGATTAAATTTTACCCTATTTTCTTTGTTAAGTTATTTTAGTTGATTCAACCAAAACAAATAATGATATTGCCGATCGGCATTGAAGCCATCTTCTGTAATGGAAAAATAAATGTTATCACGAAAACAGCGTTTAAACTCTGAAGTAGTTGCTATGATTACGTAATAGGCAAAACACTTTAATGTTCTAGTATACGGTTTTCGTGAAATGGTGGCAACGTAAGATATGGTTTGATAATATAAAGAATTTTACCAAAACAAATTACTAAATTAGGGATAAGAAATGTGTATAAACTCCCTTACTTTTATTCACTAAATTTAAAAGATCAGTTTTAAATTTAAGAGTCTTAAAATAGATTTGTTTTAAATTTGAGAGGATAAAAATATATTAAAGCTTTAAATTTATAACCATATATTTCTAAAATTTCACTCAATATATATAACTACAAATTCCATGTTAGGGTAAATGTACAATTAGGAATTATGATTGAATTGGATGTATTATGAATTGTTGTGTAAGCTAAATTCTTTGTGGTGAAAACATGTGGTTATTGGTTTGAATTTGAACTAATTTGTCTAAATAAAACACAATTGAACCCGAGAGGGATGATGTGAAGAAGTTTTGAAAATTCATGTTCCGCAATTTTTGTAAATTTGCTGTTAAGTGTAAATTTGTTCTTCGAGTTAAGCGTGAAACTCCTACAGAAATATAGTTAAGACTCTACTTTTATAACACTAAATGTGATAATGGTCTCACAAAATGCTAGAACCACGACGTTGACAACAAGTTTTTGGGTGCTAAACGTGGGAGGGTAGACATTATGTGTTGAGGTCATAGAGAGTGATCCTTGTTAAGATGCTAAGTTCACTAAACACCATTTAACGCCAAGCATAAAAGTGTTAACGTGAAGCACAGAAAGCTCCATTATAAAAAATTGTGCTAGTTGTGATATTAAGCGTGAGTTGACTCACATTAAGCATGAGATTTACATAAAACTCTTGTTATAGACTAAGACTTGAGATAATTCAATTTAAATGTAATAATTGAGCCTTAATTAATACAACTGAACATGAGACGTAGGTATTGAACTTCAAGAACTGAGGTATTTGAAGTGCACTATGAAAGGAACCATTTTAGAATAATTGAACCAACCATGAAAATAATTGAATTAAGTAATGAGATAATGAGAATTGTATAAATCATATTAAATGTGCGACTCACATCAAATATATAAATTTATGTTTTTAAGTTATTAACGTGAAATCTTATGTTTGGGAGGTTACATTAAGAATCTTTGGATTTAAACTTTGGCGGTTAACATAGTTTGGGAATTCTAATTATATTCTATAGATTTAGTGCGACATTATAATCTTAGTGAGTCATTAATAGATCTTTTTTTAATGAGAGTATTTGATGTTGAGCACCTAAATCAAGTGACTCTATCTATTTGTAGACATTCTTAGGCTACATTCATTGAAATGAGATTTCAAACTTGACATCATATGCATAAGTACATTATAACAGAAAAATACTAAATAACATAGTTATAACTCTTGAATGTGTTTGATATATTTTATGTCTTGTATTATCATTATACTTGTGGTTGTCTATTTCATACCAGAATCATGATCTCACTCCCTATTTTATTTGTTTTATTTGTCTTTAGATTCAATGTTATTTGTAACTAATGATCAAATGAATGTTGATGTCAATAAAGAAATTTAGTCCTTAATATTTTTTTACATTAGATATAATGTTTTGATAAAATATTACATCGATGCTTGTGTTTATTTGTATTTAATTATTTATGTTTTTTTAGTTATTTTTGTTTTGTATTAACGTATGACTTTTGAAATGTTAAGTTTATTTATTTAACATTCTATTTATCTGTTAGTTTTAATATTATTTATACAACTAGTTGTAAAATGTGATATACCTTTACCATTAGTGAAACCTTTTAATAACTTTCAAATATTTTGTTTCTTTTTTATTGTAAAAATTCTTTTTTATTTTATTTGTCTAAAAGGATGGAGAGTGTCACAATTCACACGATGAAAGTCCTATGAATTAATTTATTGACAAGCCAACTTTATTTTTGAAAGAAATTTATTTATTGTCTTTTCTCCCAAAAATATTTACAAAATAGTTTATCTAAACATATCATTAGTTACTTTGGAAAGCTAAAATTGAACTAATTGAGGGCAGTCGCAGCCACCGATCTCAAATCTTTTTAATTTATTTCAAAAGGTCAAGAATTATGATCCAACCTCTGTAGCATCCTACCATTCGAAATGAATGTTACAATAATACTTGTATGGGAGGGGTTGGGTTAAGGTTAATTAATTGTGATGCCTATGTGGCAAAGCATGAGCTAGCTAGAGGAAATTCTCAAGAAAAATGTTTCGGATAAATATTTAACAATACACTACAATGACTAAAATGTTAGTTATTACAAATAATAAAACTTTCATATGAATATTTAACATAATTATTAATGTATTTGTTCTTAAATTTCAAATACTCAAATATTAGTTTGACTCAAACCAAGATGTAAGTTTTTCATTGAGGTGTTTCAAAAATTTTAACAATTATAAACTAACCATTCACTACATACTCAAAACTCAAACTCTAAAAATTACTAATTAAATTGAAATAATTATCTATTAACTAATTCACTTACTTGGTGTTATCTTTTACAATAATTTTATCATTCATTGTAATTTGTGATTTTACTTTATTTTAATAAAATAATACAATTCTTTGAAATTCAATTTCAATTAGAACAATACTTTCAAATCAATTTTATCAAAATTTAAAACAAAAGATCAGTAAATGAATAAAGACTACAGGAACTTAAACTCTACATTAAAGCAACATAATTTGTAAAATCACACTAGTCATGTGTGTCAGTTGACACACTTTCTAGTTTCTTCTCGAGATAGTCAACTTGATAAAATCTTTAATAAGACATTTATTAGTATATAATATAGGATGGCAGAATAAAAATATTATTGTAGTGTTAATGATGGAAATATGTTAATGTGGTGGCTGTGATCTATGGCAAATCTTGAAATATTAGAACCCACGTGCTTTTGTACCCTAGTTATTAGATGTGGGTTCAAACTGCACGTGCTTGTGCAAAACTCCTTATCACCACTTATTCCTATCCCTATCGATTATTAACGATACACATAACAATAATTAATATAATGTCCAAAAGATCATGGCATATATTAATAATATGATTTTGGTTCTTTCATATTGTGGCAGAGATATTGTTCATGGGGACCCAAAATTCAAAACCCTCATAACCCTAAGCGGCAAAGGACCCTATGGATCTTGCTAAATCAATATTAATTAATGCAACCGATCTTATAAAGGAACAGTGTTTATTCCTCAAAGGTTTACTCTCTTTGTTTTTGTGGAGAAGAAATAGGGGGGAAAAGAAAAAAAAAATGAATGTGTTTAGTAGAGAATAAAGAAATAAAAAGTGTGAGATTAATTATTTTATTATATTTATTATTCCTATATTTTTATTTTTTACTTATTTATTTTTTCCTATCAAATAATGTCTCAATTAGGACTGTGTATAAAATTCAAGCTGGTCCATAAACGACCCAATTTAGATAAAATTATGGTTCATTTAGAAAAAAAAAATTGAATCGATTCTTTTTTTTATAAATTAGATTGTTTCAATTAATAAAAATCTATATAACCACATCGCATATATCTAATTTTAAAAAAATTCAAATTCATATTTAAAAAAATTAAACTGGTCAATTTAAAAAAAAAAAGAGATTTATTGACCAACCCATTTTTATAAAATGGATTAGTTTATTTTTGTTTGAATTTTTGAAAAATCTGATTCGAATACTAATATTCCTGCAGATGATTATAAATGTCATTATCATTGATCCTTTACAAATACATAGTTTCTTTAAGTTTTTTTTTTAAGAAATAAAAAAGGACAAGTTACAGCAACAAATCATTAAATAATTACTACTGCTTTTAAAAGAAAACAGTATGAATGTACAAATTACAAAAGTTCATATTTTCTTTTGATACTTAAAATTTTAGAATGGGATGACCGACGGTTCCTCAATCTAAAAGGAAAAAGGCACAAAAAATTCCTTTTCGAAAGAATAGAAAAGAGAACATTCCTTTTAATATTAAACAAATCCTTATTTTCTTTTTATGAGCACCTCATCTCTATCACACAAGTTCCTATCATTGATTAAATAAATAGCATCAACGAGACAGAGAGTGGCTATCACAATTATATAGTCTAATCTAATATCTAAGTCCTAAACCACTTGAACCCCTTTAAAAAAAATTGCCATAACTTGAAATTCGTTAATTCGTTTAACTAAAATTCTTTAATTTTAACAAACTATGACTACAAAGTGTTAATAATTGAAGAATATGGATATACAAAATAAATTGCTAATAGATCCATCTAGCTATATATTCAATTAAAATTTAATAAAAATGGTATAAGGGTAATGTTGGAAATTAAAATTATAAAATTGTTAATGAAGAATGTGATTAATTAAGTAAATAAAAATGCCATTAACTTTACTCTTCTTTAATCTCATGTTTAATTTTTTTCTTCTTCACATGTATAGTTATTTATTCTAGAGAATTATCTTCGGGCTATTGTCGAATAATAATAAAAAAAGTAAGATATATTAACTCTTTTTAAGATTTTTTGAGATCGCAGATAACAATGTGTGTGTGTGTGTTTTTTTTAACACTTACAATATTTTCTTTATAAAAGTATATGGGTTAATATTTTATAAATAAATTTAAATTTTTGATATTTTATAAAAATGTCGGTGACATGCTTTTCAAATGAGTGAGGTCAGTATAAGAATAAAAAAAATAGATATAGTTTGACAAAAATTTGAAAAGATTCAATATAATTTATTTATTAATAGATGCAAATTTTCTTACAATAATTTGAACAATAGTTTGTAAATTTCGATAGAAATTAGTCATAAGTGAAGGTAATGAATATTTTATATGAATAATATGTTTATATAATTAATTTGTAAATGTGATCCAAATAGTACATATAAAATAAATCGGATTAAATTAGAAATTAATTGAAAAGTGATTCTTAGTGATAGGGAAGGAATTCATACCGTAGGAGTCTCACTTCGCCTCCAAACATGTGTTCTATGAACATCCCCTTCTTGTAACCAGACACCCTATAATGTCATTATATTACCCATTTTAAAATCAATTAAATAAAAAAAATAAGGTTTATTTATTATATTAAACCTGATACTGGGAGTGCTTTCTTTGTTTTCTTAATTAACTGCAACACCTTAAATTTTTTTTTGTGTTATTTAACTAATATTAAATTATTACAAAAGTTAATACATTGGTGACTGAAGTAAATGTAAAACTCATTTTAAGTAAAAATAATTTCAAAAACCCCAAAGTCTCACCATTTTTGACTTTTTTATATTACCAAAAGTTTATAATTTTTGTATGATAAGATTATATTAGTGTTTTTTAAATATTAAATTGTTAGGTATATCATTTTTTTTTAAATTATTAGGAGTATATATAAATGAAGCTTAAGAATAATTTGTGGAATATAATTGGAGAATTAGTGCAGAGTCATTTCTTTTGATATAATTATAAAAATGCATGTGTATAAATAAATATCCCAAAAAAAGTGTCGGTGAAGAAGTATCCATAAATGTAACGCAACTGTGTCTAAAGAAGTATTAGGTAAGAAAAACGTGTAAAAAAACAAGACAATAATTAATAAACTAATAATACGTATTTTCTTAATTCATTTCTTTTACGTACGCGTTTCTTTTGCTTTTAAGAAGAGGGGCGACACAATCATCATTTCTAGCTAAAAGACTCAGTCAAATGAGTTATAAAGTAAATAGTTATCCATTTGATATGTGACAGAAAAAAAAAATCTCACAAGTAATTAAGTATGAGCAAAAAAATTTAATTGAGAATTTATTTATAATCCTATTTTTATATCACGTGGATAGTTTAGTAAAACAATTTGTTTATTAACTGATATATTAATTAATTCTTTAATTAGCATAAGTAAAGATATAAATGAATAAGATTGGATTACGTTTAGATGAATATGTAATCTGATTAAAGTTTAAAAGGATTGGATTAAATAGAATTTACGTATTTTTGAATGTAAGAATTGAAATGTTTGAAAAAATGGAGAGTGGAATTAAAAATGTAGTTTTTGAGATAAAGTTTGAGGAAATCCATTGGATGGAAAAAGGAATAATAAAAAAAAGAGGAAAAATGAGAGGCAGAGGGTGAAAGTGAAACGTGAAATGCAGTGTTGTGTTGCCAACTGTCGGCGCTTCTTCCTTCCTAGTATTTTCGTTCTGTACTATAAATGTGCCGTTTTTTTGAAGACATCACATGGAAAAGAGAGAGCAAGAAACTGAAATTTTGAATTTTAATTGAACTCTTAGAGTTGCAGTGTGTGAGGTAATGCTGTGAACTCCGTTTCTCATGCTTCTTTGTCCCTCATCGGATCTCGCCTTCTTTCTCTTTCCCTCA